AACCAGAAGGCTGGCAGTTCAAACCCACCAGCCACTCCTCGGAAGGAAGGTTGGGCAATCTACTTCCGTAGTGATACTGCCTCGGAAACCCAAGGAGGGTTCACTATGAGTCAGATCCGACTCGAGGGCACATCACAGCAACAACAACAAAGAGATAATCAGTTAGGTGGAAAAAAGTAGTATGGCTTGATAGACCTATGAGAATACAAATTTTATTCTTTCTCTCCCCCCCGTCCCCCTTTTCTTTTGTGGTCAGCTGTGTTTTTTTTTTTTTCTTTTCCCTGCCAAACCAATATGTATTATTGTTTTTAAAATACACCATTTAGTTCTGTCTTTCAAATTTATTAATCAAAATTATTCACAATATTTTAGAGATAGTACATTCTGTGAGTAGAAAAAAATTTGGTGGTGTGTTTTATCAGCCCTTAGTCCTTACAGGAGTTTTATTTATATATAAATATATATTTAAGGACTTAGAATGAGGAAAATCCAATATGTTCTTTCCCTTCAGCAAGACAAAGTAGGACTTTACTTTTTGACTGATTACATCAGTGTTACTTATTCCTTCATGGATACAGTTCAGTAAATTCTCACCAGTAGATAACTGTGTAGAAACTGTTTAGGAACTGAAAAGTGTTTGAAGTTTCCAAAGATAAAGCTTCTTATGGGTAGTGGCATCCTAGCTTCTAATCTGCTTTTAAATGTTTATTACTAAATCTGCTGTAGTCTGTTAAAAAAGAAATATAGATGTCAAAGAAGAGAGTGTTTTTTCCAGTATTTGGAACCATTCTTTCTCTTGAGGAGAACAGGTGGTAAATCTTGATGTACGTACATATATATATATATATATATATATATATATATATACACACAATTCCCCCCCCCCTTAGTTTTGAGGGACTTACAACTTTACTTCCTCATAAATTCCTAGGACATAAACAGGAAATTTCAGATAATCAGATTGCCTCAAGTCAAAGTAAGGTATTCTCTAGTTGTAGTAAGGATTTTTATTTAGGAGGAAAACATTAAATCTTTAATTATAGTCATTCCATTACTATCAAGTGTTATTTTCTTATAATTCATCTTAATTTATTTTTTAGTTAGTTTGAAGATTTTACCTAATGTGTCTTCTCCATTTTATTTTTGCAGTTGCAGTTCTCAGTTCTCCTTTTCAAAAATTCTCTTGGTATTTTCACATTTGAGAAATATATGAGGTTGTTCTTCAGAGGATTGTTTGTAACTGTAAGAACCTGGAAATAGCTTAAATATTGTAATTAACTCACTGCCATTGAGTCGGATCCGACTCAGAGTGTCCGCTCCTTGGGCTTCCAAGGTGATATCACTATAGAAGTAGATCACCCAATCTTCCTTTCGAGGAATGGCTGGTAGGGGCTTCATTAAGCAAATTTTTGTACTATCATAAAGTATAATATTTTACAGCCATTAAATAATATTCTGTATTAAAATCTAGTTCAGGAATTGTGGGATAACATCAAGAACATCATCCATCAAGAAAGCTAAAGGTCATTAAAAAGATAGGAATGGAAGAAAAAAACAAAATGGATGTCAGAAGAGACTCAGAAACTTGCCCTTGAGTGGAGAGTAGATAAAGCAAATGGAAGAAATGACAAGATAAAAGAGGTGAATGGAAGACTTCAAAGAGCAGTTGAGAAGACAAAGTTAATTATTACAATGAAATGTGCAAAGAACTAGAGTTAGAAAACCAAAAAGGAAGAACGTGCTCAGCATTTCTCAAACTGAAAGAACTGAGGAAAAAATTAGAGCCTCTAGTTGCAATATTAAAAGATTCTATGGGCACTTGACTGCTAACCAGGAGGTTGGCGGTTCAAACTCACCAGCCACTCCTCGGAAGGAAGGTTGGGCAATCTACTTCCGTAGTGATACTGCCTTGGAAACCCAAGGAGGGGTCGCTATGAGTCGGATCTGACTTGATGGCACATAACAACAACAACAACATGGGCAAAATATTGAATGATGCAGGAAACATCAAAAGACGATGGAAGGAATACACACAGTCACTGTACCAAAAAGAATTGGTAGATGATCATCCATTTCAGGAAGTGGCATATGATCAAGAACCAGTGGTACTGAAGGAAGAAGTTGAAGCTGCACTGAAGGATTTGGTGAAAAACAAGGCTCCAGGAATTGATGGAATACCCATTGAGATGTTTGAGCAAACAGATGCTGCGCTGGAGGCACTCACTTGTCTATGCTAAGAGGTTTGGAAGACAGCTACCTGGCCAACTGACTGGAAGAGATCCATATTTGTATCCATTCCAAAGAAAGGTTATCCTACAGAATGTGAAAATTCTTGAACAATATTATTAATACCACATGCAAATAAAACCTTGCTGAAGATAATTCAAAAATGGTTGCAGCAGTATATTGACACAGAACTTCCAGAGGTGCAGGCTGGATTCAGAAGATGATGTGGAACAAGGAATATCATTGCTGATGTCAGAAGGATCTTGGCTCAAAGAAAAGAATACCAGAAAGATGTTTACTTATGTTTTATAGACTATGCAAAAGCATTTGATTGTGTGGATCATAACAAATTATGGATAACATTGAGAAGAATGGAAATTCCAGAACACTTAATTGTGCTCATGAGGAGTACATGGACAGGAGGCTGTCATTTGAACAGAACAAGGGGACACTGCATGGTTTAAAATCAAGAAGTGAGTGCGTCAGGGTTGTATCCTTTCACCATACTTATTCAATCTGTATGCTGAGCACATAATCTGAGAAGCTAGACTATATGAGGAACTTGGCATCAGGATTGGAGGAAGAATCATTAACAACCTGCGATATGCAGACGACACAACTTTGCTTGCTGAAAGTGAAGATGACTTGAAGCACTTCCTGATGAAGATTAAAGACAATCATTTGCAGTATGGATTACGTCTCAGCATAAAGAAAACGAAAATCCTTACAACTGGACCAATAAGCAGTATCATGATAAATGGAGAAAAGATTGGAGTTGTCAAAGATTTCATATTACTTGGTTCTGCAATCAACACCAGTGGCAGTAACAGTCAAGAAATCAGATGACGTGTTGCACTTGGCAAATCTGCTGCAAAAGACCTCTTTAAAGTTCTGGGGAGCAAAGATGTCTCTTTGAAGACTAAGGTGCACCTTACCCAAGCCGTGGTATTTTTAATCACTTCATATGCATGTGAAAGCTGGACAACGAATAAGGAAGACTGAAGAAGAGTTGATGGTTTTGAGTTCTGGTGTTAGGGAAGAATACTCAAAATACTATCAACTGCTGGAAGAATGAGCAGATCTGTCCTGGAAGAAGTATAGCAGGGATGCTCTTGGAAGTAAATATGGACAGACTTCATCTCACCTACTTTGGTCGTGTTGTCAGAAGGGACCATTCACTGGAGAAGGATATCATGCTTGGTAAAGTGGAGAGTCAATGAAAAAGGGGAAGGCCTTCAACAGGATAGATTGACACAGTGGCTGCAACGATGGGCTTCAGGTATAGCAAGGATTATGAAGCTGGCGCAGGACTGGACAGTGTTTTGTTCTGTCATACATAGGGTTGCTATGAGAGCCAAGGAGGCAATCTACTTCCATAGTGATACTGCCTTGGAAACCCAAGGAGGGGTTGCTGTGAGTTGAGTCCAACTCCATGGCACCTAACAACAACAACAAGTATTGTAAGTCTTTATTTACTAATATGAAAAGATGTTCATGACACAATGAGTGATAAAAGTTTACAATAGCATATGTGGTATGATGTCACATATATAAAATTATACTCATAAATCTGTATGTGAATATATGAAATATATAGAAATGACAAGGAGGATGTTCCCCAAAACCTTAATAATGGTGAACTCTAGGCTGTGGGATTATGGAAATTTTGTGCTGATTTTTATATTTTCTCTGTGTGTGTTAAAATGACCACATGATATTTTTAAGAAAATAATAAAACTAACCACCACCCCCAAACAAAACCCTCTATCGTTTGATTACTTGTTAAAGGAAAAAAGCATTTGTTCATACATTTTTAATTTTTATATCTTCTATTAGATTCCAAAATATCTTCTTATTTAAAAGGAGGATAGTTCAACTACTGTTTAATATTTTGGAGGGTTATACTATATAATTTATCATTATTATTGTTTTCTAACATATTTTAAAATGAATGTAGAAACTATTGATAAGGCATTAATTGATTCTACTGGGGATGTTTTTAATTGACTCCACTGGTCATGCTGTTTAAAATGATACAGAATTATTTGGCCCAGCTCAAACGGAGTTCTGCTTAATATAGATCCTGAGGGGTATACTACATAATTTATTGAGGTGTCCCTGATATTTTATGATTATTAAAATAAATGTTTGTTAAATACAATAATAATATTTTACTTGGATTAAATTATTTTCATTTCTCTTTACATTTATTCCCAGTGAAGTAGCATAAATTTTTTGTCAAGTGAGTACCATGTTGATTAGCAAAATGGTTTACAGTTTGGAATACTAAGACTCAGGTTCAGTGAAAATAGTAATAAAGTTCAAGAACTATTTCTAACATTTCAAAAAGCTTAATGAAAATAATACACTGATCACAATAAGGCTGCACCAGCTAACTAAAGGACCAAGTGTTTTGGCTTTTGTCGGGTCCTCAGCATACGTGGAACCTTGGCTATTTCTGTGTCTGTCACAGTAGTTGCCCAATGATTTTGAGTTAACATGAGAATCATAATACTTGATTTAGTGGCTGTCAATTTTGAGTGATTTAAAGATAAGGAAAATGGAAAGGCAAATAGCATGGTAGACAAGAATTTCAAAACTTGGGGGAAAATGTAATAAAAATGGTAACTGATGGTGAAAAGTTGAAGAACTACTAACATTGGTAATATGAATTTGCTTGTTTTGAGTAATTTCTATTTGTCTATTGACTTTTAAATTTGAATGAATTTCTTTTGGCAGGGAATTTTAAGCCTTGAATATTGTGTGGGAATTATTGGTGGCAAACCTAAGCAGTCATATTACTTTGCTGGATTTCAAGGTTAGTGATTTGATAAACTATTTCTTCATTGTTTTCTTTCAAAAGTCAGAGAGTTAGTATGGGATCATCTGGAAACAGGATGATTAGTGAGCAAAATGAGTAACTTATATATTCATCAGTCCTACCATAGCCACTCATTTGTCATTTGGTCCACAACATAATTGGATTCTGTAAAATATGTGTATAATTTCTGTTATTGCATAAACAAGGCATAATTTATTGGTTTCACTAAACTTGAGAAGACATTGCTGTCACACTGTGGCAGTAGCTATTTACATATTTACTTTTTACCAGTTTTAGTTGTGCTAGTTGATGATAAAATGACAAGCAATATGTTTTCCCTGTCAGGATAAAGTAATGCAATACATTTTTCATATGCAAACTGTAGAGTATAATTGTGTGTTTGTGAAAGTAATTTTATCACTAAAAATTAAATGACAGTCTCCTTACTTTATAAAAAATTCTGCTTATACAAGCATTTGATTATGCAAAAGTTAATCTGTCCTGTGCAAACCTATGTTTCAGTCAGTGAGTATCAGTCTGGCAAGCTGTAACTCCCAGATTCTTTTTTTTTTTTTTTTTTCCAGCTGTTCTACATAGAAATTGGATTGTAAGCAGTGTAATCATAAGGTGTTTTTTGAATTACTTGTCTTCTGTTTTGTCCTTGTAGATGACAGTTTGATTTACATGGATCCTCATTACTGCCAATCTTTTGTAGATGTCAGCATAAAGGATTTCCCTCTTGAGGTACTATGGAAAAAGAGCTGGTACTGTTTTCCTACCATATGAAACAAACCCTAATTATTTAGAGATGTACTAAGTAGCTGTGCATTTGTGGTATTATAATGACAAATTGATAGTCAATATTTTGCTGATTTATAAAATTATAATCAACATAATGGTCAAAGGTTAAAGACTTTGTTGCTGAATTTTAATGAATGATATACTTTCCATTTCATTCATCTTTGTCTCTTACTTGTTAGATAACCCTAACCCCCAAAATAAATGATCAAGTCTCCAAGTAATTTTGTAGAAAGATAGAACAGTACTGAAGAATTAAAAATGTTAGCCTTTTTTTTTTTTTTTTT